AAATATCACCAGAAAAAAGAGAGATACATCTAACATGTTTGCCTGTGTTGAATGGGCAACATCAGCTAAATGACCCTGTAGCTGCAGAAACAATGGGAAATTGCCGTACATGTGTGAAGAGGGGAGGTGAGGTAAGAAAGAAGGGGAGAAGATAGTGAGTTTACAATTTGTAGAAAAATGTTAGGTCTATCCCCCTTTTTTCTGCCGTTATTTGGTTTATGTCTTTTTTTTTAATGAAGTTTATCCAGTTGCGAGTAGTCGTGTTTTATTGTTTGTATTCATTACTGTTTTTACAATCTTATCAATTCATTAATTATCTATAAAAAAAAAATACTTCAAAGAGAAACTCCACAGGAACAATTAATGATGTGGTAAGACTAAAAAATAAAAATAGTAAAAATTTCTAACATAGTAAATATATTTCAATATATGGCTTATACTTTCAGGAGATGTATTTAAATAAATCAGAAATGAATTTCATTTTTTTATTTTTATTTTAATGAACAAATTATTAAAGATAGATTTTTTTAATACTAGTTTGTTCAGGATTCATCATTAAGTTAAAGTTTTCATTGCCAGTTACCACTGTAATACTGAAGGGTTGACAGAAGACAGTCTAAAAAATTGAGTTTATTAACATAATGTATTTACTTAAGTGTAATATTAATAATTAATGATGATTTGATTTGTAAATGACAGGTAATTAACTACATAAAAATAAGGAAAACTAAATGAATTTCTACTCAACCAAACAATCACTGTAACTAATCAGGCTATAATTTTGCTATTATTAATCATTAGATATTAAGTAATTTGGTATTAGAGGTAGACGTTAGGCACCATCCCTTATCTAAATTAATAATTATAATTTTTAATAATTTAGAACCCATCTGGAAAAAAACTAGCCCAGAGTGGGACTTGAACCCACAGCCTCCACTTATCTTGCCAGACCTCTGAACAATTCTTTGCTTCCAGATGTGTTTAAATACATCTGGAAGCAAAGAATAACTATGAGTAACCACATATGTTATATTTATATATAACATATGTGGTTACTCATAGTGCTGGCTGGCAACGACTCCCATGCCTAATATATAATCTTTAATAACAGCAAATTCATAGCCTGATTGATTATGGTGATCATTTGGTTGTGTATCAATGTATCAGGTTTTGGAAAGTTTATTAAATATAAATGAATTTCATATATTTATAGTTATTTTGTATATTGGTTGGCTAATTTATTTTTCGTTTTAATTTTGAATTTATAATGTTCGAAAGTTCCATTTTAACATAATTTTCAAATTTGTTTTGTAGCCAGTCACCTGATGATGGCCTATTCCATTAGGCTGAAAACATTTGTGATTTAATAAATATTCTCAGCGTTGTAAGTTGTTAAATGTTTTATTAAGTGAATTTCATATATTCAGCTAGAAACAATCTCGATCCTAATAGTACCTACTAATATTGGAAATGAAGTAATGAATCTACTCAATGATTTCCTAAAAATTTATAAATGTATAAATCACAAAGCTTTATTATTATTTTTAGTACATGTTTGAATCTTAAACTTTCAATATTAAAGTGGATCAATTCTAGATTATTACATCAGATTAAGATTTTAATTCACACACTTAACACACTATTATTATTATTTTCTACTACTATAATAAAAATTTCCAAGACAAAAGTCATCTAATTATCAACTCCAACAAATGAAAACCTATAAAAGTACACAAAGAAATAAAAATGTGCAGGAAAAAAACATAGTTAAAGTGAAATACTTCAAAAGAGTGATATGATCAATGAAAATTTATTGATCGATCAGATGAATCAAATATATAAATAATTGATACCTTAGTTAAGATTTTATCATTACTAGATATTGACATCACCTTGCTAAGTTTATATGTTATCCCTATAACAAACAGAAAATTTAAACAGCCATGAATCCGAATCTTACATGAGAAATTCTGCTTCATATTTTTCCACATATCCTTTCTAGTTAGACCATAGATATTAAAATAGTGATCCTATTTTTGGGCTACAATTTTCAAATTACAGATCAATACATTTCCACTGTTGTCCATCCTTTGTTAATCTCAAGAAAAGTTACATAGATGAAAATTGAGACCAGATATGAAAAGCTTAGAGATTGGAAGTCCCAATTAACTATATATGAACTTCCAATCTAGAGCAGAAGTCATGTGATTTTTTAATAAAAATTGCAGCCCAGCATTGTGAATGTCACAATAATATACATTAAATTTTTTTTAATTCCTCTTCACTTCTCGCTGAAGAGAACTTTGTAACATAATTTAATAAACAGTTTAATTTTTCTAGATGTATCATGCTGAAGAACAAGTGTCCAAAATATATGTTAGTGAATAAGCTCAAATCAATAAAAATCTCAAAGCATACATTTTCTGAAAATACTAATTTTAACTACTGTTTTAGGACACTGTTCCAATTTTTACTTTAAATTTTTGCAAGTCATCCAGTACTGCAAAAGACAATTTTCAAAGAATAACTCAAGGTATATTCAAAAACAAAACTTCATTTTATATTCCTTAAGAAATAAAACACATTTAAAGATCAAGATTTTGAAGATTAGTTAGGTCTTATCTACAGATTTTATAATATTCAAACAAAAAATCTCCAGTTTTAGAACTGGTTAGAACAATAATTTCCAAAATGAATGCTATCACCCATGGAGTGGTAGCAAATTTGAGGGGACACTGGAGGTAAAGGGAGTATGAAGAGGCACTGAAAGACAGAGCAAATTTACTTTGAAATAAAGATTTTTACCACTAGAATTCAAACAGATACACTGTAAAATTAGTTTTTGTTGTGGAAGACTTTATGTAGAGAAGGCCTAGAAATAGCACCTCTCTTCACAAATATGGTAAGAAAATAAACAAATCACAATCATATGACTTGAGTGAACTGAACAGGACCAAACATGAGCAATGTTTGTATTATGTGATGAGTGATTGTGCACATTCTATTAAGTCCTGTTTAGTATATGTATAACTTTTCATGAAGCAAGCCCTTAATTAGTCAGACATCCAGATTTTGTAAGTATATTTTATTCTTTCAATATTGTAGAATTTTAGCACTAATTATTGGAGAAAATCATTATGAAATTATTAGCTTGTAAAACTCTCAAAGACTTTTGATAGATAGACTTGTGTTCTTATTGATAATAAATATAAATAGTATAAATAGAGTAAGAAGGTGATGTTAAGCTCTTTTTTTTTAATTAAATAAAGCTGAAATACTCGAACATTACTTCTTCATTTGTACAAGTTTAACTATTACAATGAAAGATGTAATATCAATCATTCTTTCATCATAATTTATCTTATTCAAAAGTACTGTAAAAGTTGCCAATTGCTTCTTCATGTAGTATGATGTGGTTGGAAAGAATGTAGCATGTAATATTTAGAATAATAAAAGTCTGTCATCTTATCCCAAATGCAAATAATTGAACAGGATGATTTAAGGATGCTGCTTATCAGAATTGAGCTGGATATTAAAAAATTACTCTCTTGTATCATCAGGTTATCGTTCACATCAATCATTTTTTAATATTAAATAATCATGTACTTTAAAATAATTTTGGAAAATTATTTTATTTATTTATAAAATAAATGATTAAAATTTAATTTTCAATTTATCATAGTAAAAGATCTCTAAGAGTACAGAAGGATGGTCATAGCCTTGTTGAAGGATATAAGGAAACAAAATCAAATACTATAATGTGCACTCTGTCTGTTAATTCAATCTATTGTAAAATAATCAGTTCAGAGTTCTTTATAGCAAACATATAACCCTTCAAATGTTCCGATGCCAGGCTTTGTAAATCATTTTTTAACAGACGATCTAGCTTTATCCACAATGAGCCTAAGCAAAAGTGTTGGTTTTTATGTTTTTGTGAAGGCTTTCAATTTATCATTTTCGACTGATTTTATGTGGGCTGCTAATGAAATACATGCCCTAAAAGCAGGGCCGAATTCTCTGGTCTTGCTTAGCATGCACCACATGGTCAAGAGAAAGTTTTGACTGTCAATATACTTTTTATATGAGAACAAATATGCCAATGATAATTTATTCTAATGTATAAACTCTTTTATCATTTGTGTTTGCTTTAACATTGGCAACTAGCGGCTAGCCATTTTAAGTCAATGCAATGCTTGCAGGAACTCAATCGCTTGCTCGTGTGGAGTTTTAACGCAGCAAACAAGTGTGTGCACACGACATAATTTGAAGCATTTAACATGGCCAGATTGTATCGAGAGCTTGAGGTACCCAGTCATCATACATGTATTGTGTACAGGGGCTGATTTACAGAGATTAATATGGCTTAAGCCCTGGCCCCCAGTGTCGAGGGCCAACAAAATTTGAATTATCATCATAAATTTTTAATACTTTTTCATTATAATATATTTCATATATTTCATGTGTAGATATAGTGGGCTTTATAATAGTCCATATTTTTTTTATTCACACCAAATAACATTTCTACCTATTGTTTAGTGCTAGAGATAGGCCTATTACTCTTATAACTTTCAGCATGCCCAAAAATTTTGGTCAGGATTCGACCCTGTCTAATAGTCCAAAATAGTTTGGGAAACACTAGCTTAAGACATGAAACTAATACTTTTTGTTATTTAAAGATTACAGGTTGAAAATGAGCACAAAAGCAGCACAAAACAATGTGTAAATGTCACTATCATTTGAATAAACTAGAATTAAGTTGAAAGAATGAATTTCAATAATTTGTAATGAGTCACTTATTTTGTTTGTATGTATGAGAATGGATTACAATCCTAGTACAGTACCAATAACTTGTAGCAAGATTGTTTTTTTGTTTGTATCTTCTCAACTTCACTCAAATACATAATACATATAAATAGTTTAAATAATTAAACTTATTCTAACAAGCTGTTATGTTATTATGCAATTGCGTGTGTTTTATTATTATTTATTTTCTTGCTTACCTTTTCAATATTTTCTTTGTGTTTACCGAGTAAATCAAGATGTAATGGAATCGAAACTTTAACGATTCTATGTAAAGCAATCTGTAACCTTTTCAAAGGTTGTTTGTTTTCGATTGCGTCTACTTCACTTTCCGAATTATGGCGCGTAGAATGGTCCATTTTGTCAACGATTATTTAAAATATCATTCTGATAATCACCAAATGAAAACAAAACAGTCCATCTGCTAATGACGCAACTCCTCCTGTTCTTCTACGACACCTAGTAGAGAGAAATTGAACTATATTTTGTAAAATATTTACCTTCATTTTGATAAATTAAATAATAATAATAATAATTTTGCTTTATTTTATGATATTATTATTAATTTTATAAATAAATAAATAAATAATTCGAAACGATATTTATATTTTAATCACCGGATGAATTCGTTTGTTCGTTTTACAATAGTTATGATTTTACGTTAATGTTTTTAATTGTAAATTATTATTATAATTAGTTTCTATATTATTATTTATAAAAATTAATAAATACGATTATTCGTATTTAAAATCGCGTGACGTAAGATTAACACAGAAGAGCCTACTGTAAAACTTGTTAATCATTTAAATGAGATATGTGGACTGGATGGCCGCGGTGGTTATTGCGAGCTTACTGCTCTGGGAACCCGGAATCGAATCAGAATTTTTCATCAGCCACTTCAGGAATTTTCTATGAACAGTATGTGACATTTCTTCCCTGCCACCTGGTCGTTTCCATTGCCAGTTTGGCTGAATCCACGATGAGTGTGGAGGGAAGAAAGCTCTTTTAGTGTCCGCAGGGCAAAAACAGCCATAAATTTTACGAGAAAATCCTGGATACCGAGTTGAGTATACTGTATATTATTTTTTGATTGTTGTTGAGCATCTTCTACACAACTGCTTCGGAATACAGTTTCTTTGAGATACAAAAATTCACTAATTATATATTCAACGTGACACAAGACTTTACAAGACTCAAATACTTTTAAATCCCAGACGATCGCATAAATCGTGAAAAATCTAGGCTAATCAGGATCCTAAACTTAAACTTAAAGTGACACGACATTTATGAATTTACATGTTAAGTCTCAAACATCAGTGACGAGATTCACGCAATATTTTGATCACTTATAGATTTAATGTAATCTTAATATAAAAATCTTAGAAAACATCATATACCCTTTAAAAATTAATTTAAAAAAATATTATGTTAAAACCGTTAGATGACACATCAACGTCATGCAGTAAGTAATTCTAATGTGAATGACAACAATCATGTAATAGTACCCTTGTGACATCATTAACACCGTGATGTTATGATGTCACAAGTATATTACGTTACTATAGAGTCCAATTGCCTTCTTTCTTCATCTATTTCACTTTACACTTTAGTATTTGTTATCTGATATAGGCCTAATAAACCTACATTCATTTCTTCACTGACTCACTCACTCATTAGAATTGCCAAATATTAACTCGGAAATAAAAATTTCTATATAATTTGATTTATTTAATCACAGATATGAAGCAAATGAATATTGAATAAAAGTAATAAAAACATGTTCTAGTAGAGGATAAAATGGAGATTATATTTGTGAATAGTCCCTAAAGGCATAACGGGAAATTGATTATACTTATAACAAAAATCATTTTACCCACGATTATTGAAAAATATTTTATTTGGACATTACATAAATTAAAAAATACAAGAATTTACAAAATGATTTTCATATAACTGATGTTAATTACCATTGGCGAATGGCAGATTTACCAGTCACCAATGGCAATTAACGTCAGCTGTCAATTGCGTGACTAAACTTGAGTATGCATCTATTGATCTACAGCATATTTTAATTTCTGAATTTGAATTTCACCAACTGTACTGTAACTATTAAAAAAGTATCTGGTCAGGAGAAATGACCAAAAAACACAGAGAAAATGTACTAGATTTGCGTTGCAAATAGATGCAAATTACAGGAGTTAAACCGTTGCATACAGTCAATAGTAGAACTTTAGTATTTACACATAATTCTACTATTAACCCAGTTTCTTGCTGATGTTTATGTGACACTCGAATAACATGTTGCTGGCTACCCGTGAGTTATATTATCCGATTTTAAATGTCCTCTCCAATTTACTTATTTTCAAATCCGATTCACCGATTTTCAAATTTCCTTACACTACTATTTCAACATTTATTATTTGTATATGAAATTTAAAACTATACAACCGTTGCTTTTATGTCATCTTTCTACTGCTCCTGAAATTTTATACTCAGCAAAGTACAATTAATGCGCTTTCGTGAAGATTGAACTTTAATATTAAGCAGCGACCTTACATTGAATTTGTTTATACTGTATTTATAATTGAATTATGTAAAAACGCAAAAATATGTTAAATATTATATCTATTAGAAATTTCAGCTTAAATTAATCTATTGATAATAATGCAAATTTTAAAGGAATTACATAGAAAAATTATTATTGAACAATTATAAAAATCATAAACTATTAGAAAACTGTCAAATTATGAAATCAAATAATATATATAATTAATAAATAATAATATAAAAATTCATCTTTATTTTATATAAATATGAAAATATTGGTTCAAAAATATACATATTATTTATTGGTAAGGTTTTCATAGCAACAGTTTATTTGAAAGCATTTATTTTGATGAAAAACAATATCGAAATTCAAGTGAAACACGCGTTTAAATTGTCCTTGAATATGATATGATTTGTTTCGAGATGATGTGTTTGCGTATGTCTGTAGTGAAAATGTTAAAGTGATATAACTGTTGAGTAAACGATTGCTGATACCATGAACCCTCACTGAACTTTATGAAGCGAATGATAACTAATGAACTATAACAAATATAAGTTTTTGAATAATAGAATAACAATATTTACTTCATGAAAAGTAGGATGGCGGAAGCATGTAAAGCGTCAATCTATCGATGTAGACTCTAGAGGATTCGAGAGCAAATCCGGACGAGTAACTCCCGAGGAATTTTTCATGGATCAATCCCAGATATGTCGAGTCCCTCTCTGAACATTTATTGTGAACCTGGTCGAGTCTTTGCTGAATATGAAAAACGGCCCTTTCAATACACGAAGCTAAAAGACATAAAAGTTAATTATTTTTAAATTAATAAATAATATAAATAAATTTTCGCTTCAAATAATTAAATGTTTGGAAGATACTCCGTTTGTTTTCCTGTTGTGAACAAGGAAAAAAAATGACATATTTCTCCATGGCAAAGCTAACAATGGAGTGTTCGAGTAGCTTGTTCATTCAATTAAAGGAAAAAAAAAGGTAGATGTGTATAGTGGGTCAGTGACACGCTAAAGAGGCTTTAGAATGGAGTTCTCTTTGAAAGATGCGGATGATGATGATGTATGATGAAAATATGATGAGTTAGTAACTAAACAACGATTTTTATTGTATTATCAAATAGAAAAGAAAATTCTCTACGTAATTAATAAACAACAAACGTTGATATCTTTGTCAAAAAGCTGCACTAAGCTACACTCTTCTTGGAAGATAATTTGGGATGATGCGGATGCTTAATCCGCATCATCCCATTTAAATAATTAATTAACATTAAGAATATATATATATATATATTCTTAATGTTAATTAATTATTTAAATGAACGATTTTAGAATATTTAATATCGTAAATTAATTATCATCGTTCTAATTTCGATTTTAAATAAATTTATCCGAATCTTTTATGGAGAAATCTTACTGACACTCTTTCAGATCAAAATCCTGATGCTCAGTCACTAGAGAAGTAATTTTTTTTTCTTTTTAGACGTAGCTATTTAGAGGAAGAGTAATTTTTTTTCTTTTCAAAATCTTTTCTTTGTAAATATTTAATTTGTTAGCATTTCTATTAATATAGAAAATTATATTAGTGGCGTACTCCTGAAAGAATATTTCCTAATGCATTTCCTATTCGACATTATCATATTAATATTTTTAATTATTAAATTAATTATTTATAAACAATAAATTTTTATTCTTCGTAAAAAAATTCACTTTTTTAATACTTAAATTAACAAATTACGATCCTAATTAGGGCATATAAACCTATCGATGCAGTCCTGATTCTGATTTTAGGCACCTAAAACTAGTAAATTGTTTCGTATAATAATTAAATTTACGAGTATTCTTCCCTTAAAATAGGATAATATAAAATAAAACTGGTTGAATTGATCCAATCAACAGCATCCCTACGTATCCATATCTCACACACACACACACACACTAAAACCTGATAATGCACTTCCTGATCTAAATCTAGAAGCAGGCACTCACTTAAGGTGTGTTTGTATGAGTTTCTTAAAACAAAAAAAAAGCACCCTCTTTGCTACTTTTTTACACCTAAAAGAGCTTGATTTGTAGAGATTTGAGTACAGTTTTGAGCCCTATTAACATAAAATCGATTTTTTAAAACACACCAGATTTAAATATTAAAAAAAAGTGGATTTAAACAGATATTTAAAAGTTTAAAAATTAATTTTATTGGCACAAATTATAATGGGATTGGCAATTCTCTAACTCTAGAATCGTGACAATAAGTGAAGCTGTGTGATCCGAACAGATAGGACGAGTTTATGTGACGTCACAGAAATTGTTGTCGATAATTCCGATATCGTCGTCATGACAACTGATACTAGCAAAACGTTTATTAACCTAATATGGTGATTAGAATATTTTACTGGAGTTTATCCAATATAATTTTTTTTTCTTTTTTTCTCACCTTTCTTAATTCTGAACGTGTTCGAATTGGTACGTTATTAGGCTCTTGAGTTTAACATGATTTATCTATAATAGACCAATTTTATACAGAAAAATTGCAGGAGATAAAAATAGCATTACTGCTAAACTAAGTAAGAAAAAAAGAAAAAAAATCGGTATTAATAAAATGCTATTTTTAGCGCAGAAAAATTGATATTTCCTCTTNTAAGATTTTATCATTACTAGATATTGACATCACCTTGCTAAGTTTATATGTTATCCCTATAACAAACAGAAAATTTAAACAGCCATGAATCCGAATCTTACATGAGAAATTCTGCTTCATATTTTTCCACATATCCTTTCTAGTTAGACCATAGATATTAAAATAGTGATCCTATTTTTGGGCTACAATTTTCAAATTACAGATCAATACATTTCCACTGTTGTCCATCCTTTGTTAATCTCAAGAAAAGTTACATAGATGAAAATTGAGACCAGATATGAAAAGCTTAGAGATTGGAAGTCCCAATTAACTATATATGAACTTCCAATCTAGAGCAGAAGTCATGTGATTTTTTAATAAAAATTGCAGCCCAGCATTGTGAATGTCACAATAATATACATTAAATTTTTTTTAATTCCTCTTCACTTCTCGCTGAAGAGAACTTTGTAACATAATTTAATAAACAGTTTAATTTTTCTAGATGTATCATGCTGAAGAACAAGTGTCCAAAATATATGTTAGTGAATAAGCTCAAATCAATAAAAATCTCAAAGCATACATTTTCTGAAAATACTAATTTTAACTACTGTTTTAGGACACTGTTCCAATTTTTACTTTAAATTTTTGCAAGTCATCCAGTACTGCAAAAGACAATTTTCAAAGAATAACTCAAGGTATATTCAAAAACAAAACTTCATTTTATATTCCTTAAGAAATAAAACACATTTAAAGATCAAGATTTTGAAGATTAGTTAGGTCTTATCTACAGATTTTATAATATTCAAACAAAAAATCTCCAGTTTTAGAACTGGTTAGAACAATAATTTCCAAAATGAATGCTATCACCCATGGAGTGGTAGCAAATTTGAGGGGACACTGGAGGTAAAGGGAGTATGAAGAGGCACTGAAAGACAGAGCAAATTTACTTTGAAATAAAGATTTTTACCACTAGAATTCAAACAGATACACTGTAAAATTAGTTTTTGTTGTGGAAGACTTTATGTAGAGAAGGCCTAGAAATAGCACCTCTCTTCACAAATATGGTAAGAAAATAAACAAATCACAATCATATGACTTGAGTGAACTGAACAGGACCAAACATGAGCAATGTTTGTATTATGTGATGAGTGATTGTGCACATTCTATTAAGTCCTGTTTAGTATATGTATAACTTTTCATGAAGCAAGCCCTTAATTAGTCAGACATCCAGATTTTGTAAGTATATTTTATTCTTTCAATATTGTAGAATTTTAGCACTAATTATTGGAGAAAATCATTATGAAATTATTAGCTTGTAAAACTCTCAAAGACTTTTGATAGATAGACTTGTGTTCTTATTGATAATAAATATAAATAGTATAAATAGAGTAAGAAGGTGATGTTAAGCTCTTTTTTTTTAATTAAATAAAGCTGAAATACTTGAACATTACTTCTTCATTTGTACAAGTTTAACTATTACAATGAAAGATGTAATATCAATCATTCTTTCATCATAATTTATCTTATTCAAAAGTACTGTAAAAGTTGCCAATTGCTTCTTCATGTAGTATGATGTGGTTGGAAAGAATGTAGCATGTAATATTTAGAATAATAAAAGTCTGTCATCTTATCCCAAATGCAAATAATTGAACAGGATGATTTAAGGATGCTGCTTATCAGAATTGAGCTGGATATTAAAAAATTACTCTCTTGTATCATCAGGTTATCGTTCACATCAATCATTTTTTAATATTAAATAATCATGTACTTTAAAATAATTTTGGAAAATTATTTTATTTATTTATAAAATAAATGATTTAAATTTAATTTTCAATTTATCATAGTAAAAGATCTCTAAGAGTACAGAAGGATGGTCATAGCCTTGTTGAAGGATATAAGGAAACAAAATCAAATACTATAATGTGCACTCTGTCTGTTAATTCAATCTATTGTAAAATAATCAGTTCAGAGTTCTTTATAGCAAACATATAACCCTTCAAATGTTCCGATGCCAGGCTTTGTAAATCATTTTTTAACAGACGATCTAGCTTTATCCACAATGAGCCTAAGCAAAAGTGTTGGTTTTTATGTTTTTGTGAAGGCTTTCAATTTATCATTTTCGACTGATTTTATGTGGGCTGCTAATGAAATACATGCCCTAAAAGCAGGGCCGAATTCTCTGGTCTTGCTTAGCATGCACCACATGGTCAAGAGAAAGTTTTGACTGTCAATATACTTTTTATATGAGAACAAATATGCCAATGATAATTTATTCTAATGTATAAACTCTTTTATCATTTGTGTTTGCTTTAACATTGGCAACTAGCGGCTAGCCATTTTAAGTCAATGCAATGCTTGCAGGAACTCAATCGCTTGCTCGTGTGGAGTTTTAACGCAGCAAACAAGTGTGTGCACACGACATAATTTGAAGCATTTAACATGGCCAGATTGTATCGAGAGCTTGAGGTACCCAGTCATCATACACGTATTGTGTACAGGGGCTGATTTACAGAGATTAATATGGCTTAAGCCCTGGCCCCCAGTGTCGAGGGCCAACAAAATTTGAATTATCATCATAAATTTTTAATACTTTTTCATTATAATATATTTCATATATTTCATGTGTAGATATAGTGGGCTTTATAATAGTCCATATTTTTTTTATTCACACCAAATAACATTTCTACCTATTGTTTAGTGCTAGAGATAGGCCTATTACTCTTATAACTTTCAGCATGCCCAAAAATTTTGGTCAGGATTCGACCCTGTCTAATAGTCCAAAATAGTTTGGGAAACACTAGCTTAAGACATGAAACTAATACTTTTTGTTATTTAAAGATTACAGGTTGAAAATGAGCACAAAAGCAGCACAAAACAATGTGTAAATGTCACTATCATTTGAATAAACTAGAATTAAGTTGAAAGAATGAATTTCAATAATTTGTAATGAGTCACTTATTTTGTTTGTATGTATGAGAATGGATTACAATCATAGTACAGTACCAATAACTTGTAGCAAGATTGTTTTTTTGTTTGTATCTTCTCAACTTCACTCAAATACATAATACATATAAATAGTTTAAATAATTAAACTTATTCTAACAAGCTGTTATGTTATTATGCAATTGCGTGTGTTTTATT